AAATCAAAGAAAAATTATAAAAAGTATAAGAAAAGCAAGAAGTACAAAAATTACAAAAAAATACTTCAAAACAAAAAAAATTCGATATTATAAAATTTTCAAGAATTACAAGAGCCATAGTAAAATCAGCAAAAGAAAGATGATTATGAGCAGTAAGATTTGAATAAAGAAATAGAAAAGGAATTTAGTAAATAATTAGTAAATAATTAGTAAATAATTAGTAAATAATTAGTAAATAATGGGAAATAATTAGTGAATAATAAGTAAATAATTAGTGAATAATAAGTAAATAATAAGTAAATAATTAGTGAATGATAAGTAAACAATTATTAAATAATTAATTAGTAAATAATTAGTGAAAGATAAGTGAATAATTAATGAATAATTAGCAAATAATTATTCAAATTTTATATTTTTATATTTTTAATAAATTTATCAAGTATTAATTAAATTTTGTCAAATATTATTATAAATGCAATTTTTTTATTGAAAATATACAATTTAATTTTACAGAAGTATATAATGATAAATGATTTTGTTAAATTTATAGTTAAATAATAAAAATTTATTTCAAATGCTATTATTTTTATTACAGAATGTTATAACTTTATTGTCAAATATTTTTAATTAAAAATATTTTTTAACTGAATTTTTTTTGCCAAATAATTTTGTTGTCAAATAATTTTATTGCTAAATGTTTTAATTGCCAAATAATTATTTTTTGTCAAATATTATATTTTTTTTGCTAAATTATTCTGTATTTTTAAGTGCCAAATGGTATAAATTAGATCAAATAACAAAACTTTGATATAAACTTCTATCAATAAATTTGAATTTAATTGGCTGTAATTCAGCAGCTGAATAACCTAATTTGGATTAGTAGAATACTTAAACTTATAATATTTGTAAAAAAAAGTTCAAGAATATATTATAAAATAAATTTTATTAAAAAGTATACAATATAATTGCTTAAATAGAAGTTAAATAATTAAGTATATAAAAATTATTATAGTATTAATCAATAAAAATTAATGTTTTTATATAAAGATTGTTATTTAAAATTTTGGACTAATCTATATTTTAAATGTCTTTAAATAAAATATATTATAGTTTTAAGATATTTTTTAATATTATAAGATAAGCTATTATTTTTTTAAAATATATGATATTTTAAAATTCATTTTATCTACTTATTAAAAGTTTTATTATTGTAAATTTGTGGCAACTTTATATATTCATCCTATTCTTTATCTAAATATTTAAAAACTCAATAAACTACTAAATTATTAAAATTAATCATTTTATAATTTATCTATTAATTACATAAGATTATATAATTATATTGATTTAAGAATTTAAACCTATTTGATTTAATAACTATATATTCTAAAATAATATAATATAATTTTAGTCCAGGTTAGATTCTTGGACTATTTCTTCAAGAATGTTATATTTGTATATTTTGCAAATAAAATATATAATAAGAATGAAAAAGATACATATTGTGCTATAGTGAGAATTGTAATTTAGAGCCAATTCTAAAGAATTTATTTGTAGTAATATTTATATATAACCTACTTATATGGATATTATTTAATTACTTATAATAATTAAATAAGCATATTTTTTTTTAACTTCACTAACTTGAAGTTTTGTTTATTAAACTTTATTAATATTATTGTTGAGATTTATATATATTATATGAAGTATATTTATGCTATAATATTAATTTTTTTTATATATAACAATCTATATCAGGATTTTTTTCAAATACTAACTTGTAATTAATCAGCTTGTTCTATAATATATATAGTATAGGGATCAATCTTAATATGTTAAAGCTCTACTAGTATATACAGTAATTTACTATTATATTTAAGTTTTATTTAAGAGAAATATTAAGGAAAAAAGAAAATAGAAACTGGAAATAATATTTATTCTTGATAAATAAAATCCTATTAAAAGTTAATATTATCAATCTATACTATTTGTACTGGTTTTTAACTATTTAATTTCTATTTTTTTGTTATAATTTAAGGATATTCAAGGCACTTACAACTATAAATTTATAACCTATAATAGTTTTGTAACTATTTGAAAATACCAAATGTTTTTTTGGAATAAATAATATAGAAGTAAGTTTCTTACTGAATTGGATAAAACTTTCATATAATCTTTTTACAAAAAAGATATCAGATATTATAGAAAGTAATTATCAAATTAATTTATACTTTAAACAAGAAGTTTTTAATACCTTATAATTTTTAACAATTATTATAATACTAAACTAGATGATTATTATTTTACACATATTTTTTCAAAATTACAATCTCAACATCCTTGAATTAGTGTGTAAATCAGCTTTTTATAAGAAATAGTGCTTAACAAGTTATGATATTAGATAGCATATTAATTTTATTTAATTACCTTTACCTGGGATAAACTGGTATTGTAATCAGACTTGTAGAGTACTAACTACTGTGCTATAGACTCACAGATTTTGAATAATAGATGTTTATAAATAAAAAATTATTTCAGTTATATGGGATCTATTTTAGGTATATTACAAGTACTAGTAATAGTATAATATTTATCATTTGAAATCAATTATATGATATAAAACTATGACAAATCTGTTATAATCATTTAGAAAAAATTTTGCAAAAAGTAACATAGTACATGGCATTGTAAAACCAAATACATTTTTATATATAATTCTATCTCACAAAATTATTGTTTTTTCCTTTTTTTATGTGTATTGTTCCATAATATACTAGGGCTCTAAAAAGTACAAAACTGGTATCAAACTAGTATTGAAATAATATTGATTTATAGTAAATTTAATATATAAGTTGTGATCTACTTATATAATAAATTTAAATATCAAACTATATCAAAATGATATTGAAGTAGTATCATTAAGAACCCTACAGTTTACCAATAAAAATCTACCAAAAAATCATATAAATTTGAAATGTCTATTACTTTAGTCTGTTTGATTAAAGAAAATTTATCTGCAAATTGTTTGCTGTTGATATTGATAGTGATAAGTTAATAAGTCACCTTAAAAAAGTTATTAAGGGGAAAAAGATATCACGTTTTGATGATATCCCTGCCGACAAACTCAGGTTATGGAAAGTCGAAATTACTGATGATCGTGATTCCAACTTCACCAACTTTACATCAGATGTTGAACTTCTGGCAACTTGGGACATAAGAGATTTCTGATCCACACCACTGAAGTAACATATTCATGTTATAGTCGAGTTACCAGGGTAAATTGCCAGTTTGAGCTATGAACAGAAACTTTTGAATCAGTTAGCATCACTCGAGAATAACCACAGTGTTTACAATTAAAGCTTCATATGGGAAACAATGCAAGATCTTCTTCTGGTCGATTAATATTGGTTCAGTAACATTGGATACTATAAAGCTAGCAATTCTCAAAGTCCTTCCATTCCTACAAGATATGAAGCCTAGGGATTTGACATTACGCTTTGGTAGAACTGACAAAAAAAGCTGCAAAAAGTTAGATTTGGAAGATGATATCACATTTAAATAATATCTTAAATCTTGTGCCTTGTATGCATTCTTCTCCCTCAATATACAAATACTGTAGATACTGTACAAAAACTATTCTTGGATTGAAAACTCAGAAAAGTATATGAACTTCTTGGTCTCGCACCAGGTATTGATGAGTTTCTACTTTTGATTATGATATCGATAAACTCGGTTCGAAAAAAACCAAGGATTTGATGTTTCATCTTTGCAAAAGTTTGAAGCCTTGTTATAAAGTGATTCACAGTAAAACAGAAGTCACTCAGAGCGAATACGTCTTCTCATTTCTTGTAACAGCTACCTCACATTGATAAAGTTATATCCGCATCTATATGTTGAAAGGAAATCTGGCCGAGGTTCGTTCGATTTCTGTTTAAAACTTCTTGGAGTAATAATTGGTGTTGTAAAAGTAAAAAAAAAAAAGATTTTGACTAAGTCATGGCCTAGGTAGAATAAAATTATAATTTTTGCATTCAGATATACTGTACCTATGTTTACTAATTTTGATGATTTTTCAGAATTCCATCCAACTGCATTCGTCTCTTGAAACCAACCAGAAACATAAGCATAATGAAATTGAGTGATTTTGCTGATAAGGTATATAGGATCGTTACCGTGTGATATTTTGTCGAATTTATTATGAATAGTGATAAATCAAAAATTAGTGTACATTCGGAAATGTCGGTTGTTTTAAATTGAACAGAGAAATTGGAGACTCTTAATAAGGGTGCAGGTAGAATCTTAGGCCGAACTGTCTGGCTACTCAAGGAGGTGAAGCAATAGGGAAAGCTAAATATAGCGAAGAAAAGACAGAAAATTAATTAATGCGAAATATAGTTTTTTTTTATTTATTTTTTGTATTATATAACTCCAATAAAGCAGGAAGGCTATGTAACACAAGTAATACATAATGAAAATTTAATGCAGATCTGATCATAATAATGCTGATCCAGAATAACAATATTTATCACCCAGATGCTAATTCATTAATTGCCCAACTAAAATGTTGTTTTACACACAAATTCACAATGAAGCGACGAATTGGCTTTCTAGGGATTATACACAAAGAAATGAGTAAGATTTCACTCATCCGTAGCTCAAGTGCCACCATGAACTCTATAAAACACGTCAATTTCATAAACGATATCCATAGGTTCGTCCTTAAAACAAATTACAATACAACGCAAAACGCACGCAAATTGCGTTACAACAGTTACATATTCCTTGTTCTGCAAGATCAAACTGTGAAATTACCCAAAACATAATACTCAAAAAATGTTTTCAAACAATTCAGATTTTTTCATGCTAGTCCAATCACTAGTATTATACCTAAATACTCGAAGAGTGAAAACCGCTATCAAAAGATCACGGCGAAACTCAAAAAATCAACGATCTCGACTGCAATATAAGCCTAATGGGCTACAAAGTTCGTGACATCAAAAATGGTGTTGACAGTCGTGACAGTAATTCCAGCTCTCAATGGTCCGGGTATAATAGAACATTCAAACTTTCTGGGAAGATTTCGATCGCCTATTCAAAGAAAAACGTCTACTAGAGAAACGAACCGAGTCCTCAATGTATTCCAAAATTTCAAGATGCCACTATAAGAATATTCCACTATAAAATATATTGTATTATGGGTAGATAATGAAAGGGAGTTAGATATAAAGGTAGAGGAGGAGGAAAATAATGATAGTGCTGGACCTAGCGGGACAAGATAATAGGAGTAGTCGTCACATTTTAGGCAGGCTTTGGGTCCGACTACTACAGTATCTGCGAAATTGAATACTGTTTACCTCCCATGCAGTTTCATGGTCCAAGTTTTTTATAATGTATTTAGACATCTTCCATAGTTTATCAAAAATCCCAAAATAGTAATATGATGATGTGATCGATCACATTAATCATATGTAACTGAGCCTCTTATTTATACACTAAATTGACGAAAAATCTTCTAGTTCGTCCATACTAAAGTAATACAAACCCACCAAAAAATAATATATAACTAAATGTCTATCACTTTATTCTGTCTTGTCAGAAGAAACACATCCAAGAACGCTTTCTCTGTTAAAATAAAGAGGGACGAGCCTATTAGTGAGCTCAAAAAACTTATAAAGGCAGAGCAAGCGCCAGACTTTGACCACTTTCCTACAAATAAACTGAGACTTTGGAAGGTGGAAATCTCGGACGATCGTGATGATTTGTTAATAGACCCCTCATTGCAAGACTGTCTCCTCGCAACTCCAGACGTAGGAGATTACTGGACCGCACCACCAAAGCGATATATCCATGTAATCGTTGAGGCTCCTACTAGTAATTAATTATCATTAGCTTATCTTGTTTATTATTCACGCCACACATTAAATTCCCTCACTGTCGTTGTATTTTGGTATACTGTTTGCGACGTTGACTAACTTATGCTTTTCTTTCCTGCTCCTTATTGTCAAACCCGCCCCAAAAACACATTCGCATTATCGTAGAGCAATCCGTTGTCTCTGGTAAATGAGTCGTAATAAATTTAAACATTGTGACCTTGCTGGGTTTTTCGTTAACCATTTTTTGTCTTTACTGTATGATATCGAATATATTATCTTTTGCTTTTTTTATTTACTATTATTCTCACAACCTCCCTAACACATTAGTTAAGAAAAAAATCGATGATGCATTTCCTGGAGGTATGTGTTAAGAAATTCTGCAAAAAATTCGTCGTTCTTATTCTGAGACTGATCGGACGTACTATTTATATGCTAGGCCTGCCATATGTGATACCAGAACCTTTGCTTTACTCTACTGGTGTTGATTGGGAATATCAACCTCATCCATCATTGAAACATATTTTGCGAAGGGAGCTTAAAGACCATTACACAAATTTTCTTTCAGGGCGTTTTGACAAAATTTTGATGCCATTATACCTCTTCCTTTCTGGAGCTGGCACCGGAAAATCTCGAAACGCCAATGAATTTCACCAGACGGCAATATCTTGTTTGTCAGAGCCAGAAGATACGGAACTGTTGACCAGGATCAAAGAAGCTTGGGTATTTCATGTTAGCTATGAAAATCGCACCACCTTACGATCGGAAGAATCCTCCCCTTATCTAGCCGTTGGTACTCGAATGCTACTTCAACTTCTTAGAGAGAAAATGGGGCTTTATAAAATTATCCAAACATACGAGCCGGTAGATCCGATGAGTATCATAACATTAGTTGCCAAATACCATAACCGAAACTTAAAGACATTACGGTTATTTTGGTTGTTGACGGCATGCAACAGCTTATGGACGACAAAGATGATGGTTTAAGGTCAAATTCTCGGTTTTACCAGACTCTGTCAAATATTGCAGCCCTTTCATTTAAGCGCATTTTCCTGATACCCGTCTGTACTTCATCAATATCTGGCCCTGTTGAGGGTACATTTAAATACACGAATCGCAAACGTGTATACCTACCCGTCGCTTCTCTGGAACCGCCAAACTATCGCCAAGACCATAGCTTGGTTCCGGTCTTTAAAAATGATGAAATTACCAAGACTCTTGTGGAAGACTGTGGAGGGCATGGAAGGGCTCTAGAAGCGCTTAATGATTGCTTGGCTGGTCGTAATATTGAAG